GTTTCTGTAAAGACAAAGGCAGCGAGGAGGAGGAGGGCTCCTTAGCTTTCCTGCAGTAGAAGCTGTGGAACAGTGACAGCTGCCCTGTGGTGAACTGCAATAACCAGGGGTTGAGAGTCGAATGCTGTTAGGAGGTCGGCCTCGGGGGTTCCTGATGACGTCACAGCTCCCCAGAACACCTGTCAGCTTATTCACTATTACTGCTGTGCTCTGGTTGTTTAGGAGTCCAGAAGGATTCTGTCAGGAAGGATTCTGGTACCTGCAGAGAGTGTGTTTCACAGTGGCTCAGGCCTTGCGGAATCTCTGGATCGGTGTGACCTTCACATGGTCAGGACATGTGCATGCTCTGGGCCTCCTCCCACACTCCCCGAATGAAGCAGCACATGCACGCTGTTTTTCTCATTTGGGCCCTGATGTCAAAGGAGGCAAGACTCCCTTTCTACCTGTGAGCCTACACACAGGGAGGGCTCCCTGAGTGCACCTCAGAGACTTACTGCTCTCCCACTGTGGACAGAAGCATCTGCCATCCAAAGCTGGTGGGTTCGTGCGACTTGCTGCTGCCTCTGAACCAGGAGTGTCCCTCAGCTCTCGCCCTGGGAGTCCACCTCCTTTGAGCACAGAGCTCCTGCTTGCCAGCATGACAACACGCCTCAAGCCTTGAGGAGCCGCCAGGAGGACTGCAGTGGTCCAAGGCTGTCTAAGCCCTCCCCAGTGTCTCTTCAAGGACAGCTTGGGGGACGCTTTGAGGCACCCATACCCTGTGCATCAGCAGTTTCTGGGCAGCTGAAGATGGGCCCCTCGGCCCATCCTGCTGCTGCCTCAGGGTCTCCCAGAGACTGCCCACCGCCTGAACTTGCCAGGGCAGAGAGGCCCAGATCTCCTTCCTAGCTGAGCCCTCATGTCCAGGAACTGAGTTCTACTGTGACCATGGGAAGGAAATGTCTTCTGGGTGATAAGAATGAATGCAGGAAGGGGGCTAAGCAGGAGCAGCTTAAGTGTCCTGTAAGAATTCCTGTGACATTTGCCTTTGGCTGTGGATCTACAGATCTTTCTGTCAGCTCTTCTTGCCTGTTTGTCAGATGCCATGGAGGCACGCAGTGTGCCCGTGCTCTTGAGAATGGAAGTCCATCTGGAGAATGCAGGGGCACTGTGTGCCCCTCGCTCCAGAGTTGGATGGTATCCTGAGGACTGGCATGCAGAATACGCAAATAGGTGGACATCCAGACCTGCCCCCCCCCATCTCAGGTCTTGGTGTGCAGCCCTGACTGATGCCCCACACTGTGATGTCAGGAAACATGAACTGGACTGCAGGTGGACACTAGGGTCGTCCCTTTCAGCCTTGACCGCAGTCACTCTGCCAGGCAGTGGACCTTCATGTTAGACTTCTATCCTGACATGTGTTCCTATGAAGCTCCACATCATTCTCCACGTGTGCCTCAGGTAAGAGAATTTTACTCTCTGCCTCCAGTCCAGTCATGTCATGTTCAGGTGTGAGCCTGAGTAACAGCAGATAGACCTGTCCCTGCAGGCAGAGGTCATGGCCCTCAGGAGCCCCAGGCAACACTTCTGCAGACAGCACCATCATCTGCAGAGGTGAAGCAGGAGGGTGAAGACATTGGATGAGAGCGGGAGTGCATACCTAGTACCATGACGCTGGCGTCCCCACACTTCCTCAGACTCTCACGGAGACTGGAGAGCGGCCTGGAGAACATGTACAACAATGTAGCGGACAACTCTGCTCTGGAGGGAAGGACCCTGGAGTGAGTGCAGAAACGGCAGTAACCTCATGTTCTTGACTGCTCAAGGACTGCACTTGGGCCATTCAGGAAATCCAAAGCAGTTAAAGACAAAGCAAAGAACACTATTTAGATATTAATGAATGGCCACGTGCTCTAGGGCGCGGAGCACTTTGGAACCTAGTTTGCTCTTGTGCTTTGTCTTGTGCTGCCTGGAGGCTTTCAGGAATCCGGCCACTCCACGCTATGCGCTCTTGGCTTCACTGTGTTATCCCAGTAAGTTTCCTCAATTGCTACAAACCCAGAGGCACCATACAGCTTTGTAAGTGTCTGCATAGGGCACGGCACACTGGAGTCCCTCATTCCACATCAGGTCTGCAGAGGTCTCTAGTCTTTCTCAGAACCACTGCCCATTTAGTGCTGGAACAGATGAGAAGATGAGGGGAAGGAGAGATTGGAAGACACTTGGTGTTTGCCCCATGGCATCTGTCAGTTACCCTCACCTGCACTCTCATGACCTCTGCACACTTGTCCCTGAGATTCAAGACTCATGGTTAGTGGCTGACAGCTCATGTTTTCAAATACTTGTTTATCTGCAATCAGCACTGGCTCTGAAACACAGAGAGCTGTAAGTGAAGGAGGGTGGAGCCCCACAGCGGAAACAAGGCCTCTCGACTCTGCGATTCCATCATGATCCCCCATTCACGGCTGGCCTCTTTTCTCTCCCACTGTTCTACTCCCTCACCTTCTGGCTTTCCAGTCATCAGCGCACAGGGAGTGCACACTTGAGGTCTTCTGCATGTATGCACTGTCGACACTGTTGGGGCCTGAGGGCTATTAATTCTAGGACAACATTTCATCACAAGTGAAATTAGCAAAAGTTTCCCCGTGGGGGTCCACAAACACTGCACTATCACAGGAAGACTCCATGTCTAGGCAGGCATTCATGCTGTCACATGTCACACGGATGGCGCCATGGCCCTCTGTCTCTTCCTTTCTTTCCTCCCAAGCTCTGCCCTGCTGTGGCCTTCACCCAAGGGTCTCTTGCAGTTCCCTGTACCACCATGTATCCTCTCAGGTCCTTTACCCTGTTTCCACCATTTTCCTGTGGACTTACCCCTCCATTTTTGTCTTCCTGACTTTCCTGGACTCTGCCGGAGTGTGTTCTCCTTGGGGACATCGTGTTAAAGTTCCCGAGATCCGGCCAGGCACACAGCAGTAGTTTAGTGAACAGCTGCTCACTGTAACACACAGTCAGCCTAGAACATGGGATCAAACCACAAATCCAATTTTCAGACTACAAGACTTGTTCCATTCAGCTAAGAATGAAGGGGGCCTGTGAAAGGAAGAATTAATGCTGGAAATCTACTGGGAAGCCAAGACAGTCAGAGCTGGAGCTCATGTGCGGGGCCCAGCCCAGAAAGGAAAGAGCAAGCTGGGTGGCTAGTGAGTCTCCACTGCCTTACTGTATCACTGGGGGAAACAAAACTTCCCCAAGATGAAGTGACATAGGTTACGTGCCTATTTGTACAAATAGGGGAGACAAATCAGGGGAGACGCACCTCCAGGCTCTTGAGATGTGGAGACCGAGGGCTGGAAAGCTGGAGAAGGCTCACATAGCAACTGCTATGCTGGGAAAAGCAAGCTCCCAGGCTACAGGAGCCTTGGAGTGGCACTCACAAGTTTTGTGGTCTTCTCAGACTCAGGGAGGGAGCTGTGCTGCGCACCTTGCTCTCCCCACACCCCACTTGCCACATGAAAGCAGTGCACCCCTGCTGACTGGTCTGCATGGTGCCAGCACTCTGCCTGACTTGTTCCCTTAAAACCTCAGTGTGTGGGCTTTCAGTGGGGTACAGAGTCACCACATTCCCACATTTGGACGGAAGCCCCGGCTGTCCAAACTGGAACACTCCTGGGACTTGGTGCTGGATCAGATCCTGCAGGCACCTCGAGCTCTCATATGCAACTCCTATAAAGGCCACCTCCTCTGACCTCTGAGCCGCCTGCTGTCAGCCCTATTTTAAGATGCCCCAAGCTCAC